ACGGGTCCCCCAGTGGGGCCTGGGCCGGGCCGCGGCCTGGGCCGTTCCGTGCTGCGGCGCGGCGATAAGGCCTTCGGTTAGGCACGGCCGCCTGCTTCGGCCTTTCTCCTCTTTTTTTTCTTTTCTTTTTTTTTTTTTTGGTTCCTTTTCTATTAATCTTTTGCTGACGTTACCCTGGGTGGTGTGTCAGGGTTAAGGGCAGTATTACATGGTGTGAGATCCTGGGAAATTAGCCCCCACTGGGATATCTTTTGGGAAATGTGATGAGAGAGTAGAGAGAGAGGGAGAGTTCTTCATCGGGAGTGATTTTCAGCAGTGGTTGTCCAGTGTGTGTTACTTTGCAGTGTTAGTAAATGAGCTTAATTAGTTGACCGATTAAAAGCCTGCCTTGCCTACAGCCTAAACTTGAAGTATTTCTCATAAAGTCTTAGGCTTGGTTAGCAAAAAGTAGTTAGTTCCAACTTGCTAGAAGAGCAAGGCTGTGCAAACTGTTTACCGGGACAGATGCTGTTACTTTTTTATTACTTTTGCCCATTTTATGATGCTCTCGTGGGTAGTGAGAGTTGATGTCCCTTGTGCTGCTTTTGCTGAAAGGCAGACCGGTCCCAAATTGTGTCAAAAATCTCTGCTGCTGCCACATTTGCAACGGGGCTTCACATGATTGTACCCTCAGCAATAGCCTGACAAGGCTGAGATGATTTATCACCCTCGAGAGGTGAGTTAGCTCGTTGCAGTTGACTTTACATCTCTGACGTCATCTGTGCTGAAAGGCTTAAAGCAGTTCTTTCAACTCCAGCCTGCCTGCCCTCACCTCACCCCACTGAAACAATAAACTTTAAAGCAGGGAACATTTGGAATTGACCTCAGGTTTATCTTTTCATTAAATTAGTGTTTTGTTTGTTTTTGTTTTTTGTTTTTTTTTTTTTTACCAGAACTAAGATATAAAAGAACAAATGATACTAAAACACAGGTACAGAGGAGTAAGATTATTCACCAGCTTTCCATGAAAGCTATTTAAAAAATACTTTAAAAAAAAAAATCTCATTTTGGTGCGTTTTTGTTGTAACATTATATCTTCTGCCAGGTACTTGGCTATTGGTGATTGGTACAAACTTTAGAGTGTTCAGGGTGTCTGGGTCACTCCAGCTGGTCAAGTGTCTTGAGACAGAGAGGAGATTTGTCACAGTCTCCCTGCCACTTGGGCAGTAGAGCCTTCCAGGATATTTGAAGCTCAGCCC